CCACTTGGCCAATGCGGTGGGTGTACCGGCTGCGCCAAACGAAATGTCTTCATGGTATTTTATACGAACTCGAGTGAACAAGCACGCTCTTTCTGCTACTACGCAACGGCGCCCCATTTAAGAGAACAGCCATCTAGCCTTTACAAGTTGCTATATAAAAAGACCACTCCGTTCTTGTTGAAACCAACGTTATCTTCAATATAAACAACATGGCGGCCCGTCAAGAAAGACGGCCGCCAAAGCCCCTTGCGAGCAACCATAATCGAATTGGTCACCACTCTAAAGAGCGAAAGCAGCACGCTAATGAAGGCTCACTATAAAAGGGGCATTTTTAATATGCACAAAGTATGTGGATATTACGCAGTGAATACCATGCCCGGCATCCGATGTCACTGACCCAAAGTTTAAGGGTTCAACTACTGTTGACGGAACTTTTTTTCTTTTTCTTCCGATTGTGCGTATTTCCTCGACGTCGTTTTCGTCACCGAAGTACATTCCTGCAGCTTTCGTGCAAGGCCACCACGAAACACTTTTGTGTTAAAAATGTGAGGGCCACAGCAGGAATCTAACTCCAGCATTCTTAGTGACAACCAATTATTCTACCAAAGTGCTACGCCAAGTCTCGCAACTGCTTTTCAAATAGACTGTGATTATCGTGAAGCGTCTAAGGGGAATGCAGTCATAGATATCCAGTTTTATAAACATTGTGTACGTACTTCTACGATACATTTGTCATGTCGGGTAAAAATCAAGTGCAGTTAGGCACAATGCATGAAAGTTATTAATGGTTGACATCAACCTTGAAACGGCGCGAAAAGGGATTGGTAATATTATTTCGAGAGCGTTAAGAAAAGCCAGTGCATCTCCACGTAGTGAATGTCGAGGAGTGGGAGAAGCGATAGGTCGTAAGGTCCGTAATGCCTATTTTGGATTCATTGGTTACTATAACTTGAAGAAGGATAGATGAACGGACGCACGCACAGGTGAACGGACAGGTGTACGGTATGGGTGATCATCTATTGTGCTGTCGTGTAGTTGATTAGACATAAAGTTGGCTGTTCGCACAAATGTTTTTGTTTTTTTTTGTTATGCAGGTGTTCAGTTTCAGTGTAGGTATTGGCAGGCATGATTAGCGCCAACTAGCTCGTCCCTGAGGGGCATCGCCCCTAAGAGCTTGCATTGTGAGTGCTGACCCAACGAACATATAGAGTAAATATCATGGTCCCAGCAAAAAGCAAGCCACAACGATCTCTGTGGCAATCAAGTCTTTCACCGCGGAGCCATGCCAGGTCTCGAAACTGCTTTTCAAACCAATCGTAATGATCGCGAAGGGTCGATTCTCGTTGCAGTGCTTGCTACATAATTTATACACGTTCTATACGTACTCCTACTATGAATCCAGCACGTCGTATTAACGACAATTGTAAAGCATCTTCCACTGAAGCTCCTTTTTCTATCACTCTCTAGGGCCGCCATCCTCGCTGGGCGCAAGCTCTACATATGAGCTTACCCCTTAAAGTGGTGCTAGTACGCATGGTGCTGAAAGCCTCGTAACGCAACAGTAAACATGCGACTGTTTAACACATGTCTGTGCGTACAGCATTTTACTTGTTTTTAAAGTCATTTCGTAACGTCTCGCTCTATAAAAAATTACAACATAAACACAATTCTTCCTTCTTTTTCGCATAACATTGATTCCGAACATGCGTGGGATCTGCCAAGTTTTTCTGCCTTGTTTTCTTTGCCATCTTTACTTTAGCGACACATTTTCGTAAGAGATTGGTGTCAGGAAAGCCTTGGTGATTCCGGCAATAAACTATTTTTAGTTAAACCAGGCACTTATAAAATTAAATAATAGTTGAAATTAGTTCACTGAACACTAACGGCTTCAATACTCAAGAAAGATGGAAGCAAGCAGCGCCACCCTCCTCTTCTGGCTCCCCCTTTCCTTTTTATTCTTGTTGGCCTCTTGCTATGCTGTGCTATACAAAACTGTGCTATGTCTTGTCCTCTTACCTTCTTTTTTGAACCCTCTTTACCGTCAACTTCTTTTTCCGCCCCATCCTAAACTATGCTCTACATGACTATAGATGCTTGCTCATTTTAAATATCTTTTTGTTGTTGTTTTCCATCTAATTTTTTCTTTGTATTTTTATCTTTTCTCTTTGTTTACTTTCCTACAGTTCATTTATTTTTCTTTATACTTCTTTTCTCATAACCTCTCTGTGTCGTTTTTTCCAGCATAAGAGCTATGTGCTAGTCGGTGCACTTTTTCTGGACTTGAAGAAGACGGTGATATGGAGGATGAAGGCAGCATAAGCTGGTTCAAGTGTGAAGTCATGACAGGCGGCGAAACAAAAAGCTCGGAAACTCCTCTGTAAAAATAAACTAAAGATGCCATCGAAGAGTTACCCAAAAATCTCAGGTTCTCAGAGCAAAAAAAAATTGTCAGCTCCTACGTAGCCTGGGAATCAATGTTATGCAAAGCGGGCAGGTGGAAGGTGACTGCGTTGTAATCTTTTATTGGGCCAAAGGCTTCAAAATGACAGTAAAGATACAAAGAAACATTTTACGCACAGACATGCGCTAAACAGATGCATATTTCCTGTTGCGCAGCTATGCCAACAGCAACAAGGGCATTAGCAACATCAGAAGCGGTAAGCTGATATGAAGCGCGTGAGCCAGCGAGAATGGGGGCCTCGGACACTACTAGATAAATGAGCTTCAGGGGACGACGCTTCACTAGAATTGTCATTAAGCTGACGTGACAGCCGTATGATAGGAGTAGGTCCATACTGTTTATAAGATTGTATAGCCAGCTCAGCAGTCACAATTGACATTTCACGAACTTTGCGGTCTACTTGAAAAGCAGTTCTGAGACCTAGCCTGGCTCAGGGGTTGAATACTTGATTGCCACACAGAACGATGGGGTTTGATTTTTGCTGGGACTAGAAAAGCTACTGTGTATGCGTTCACTTGGTAAACACTACCGATTCCAGCTAATAGGGGGTAAGCTCCTTTGCGCCTACCTAGTTGGCATTTGTCATGCTCCACAAAACCCAAACAAAAAGTGAACAAAAAAAAAAACAAAGATATCAGTAAACAACCAATTTTAAGTGTAATTGACTGCAAGACAAAGCAATAAATGTTGAACCGCACCATCCATCTCACTGTCTATCTATGCAAATGTCCATCCTTTCATTCGTCCAGGCATCCATCCATCCATCTATGTGTCCGTCCAACCGTATGTCCGTCCCTCCGTGCATCCTTTCATGCGTCCAACGGTCCGTTCTTCCACGAATACGTCCGACCATCCATCTGTCCTGTATTCTAGCCGGTGACTTCAACGTAGTCAATATTTATTTCAGGATGTAAAGCTTTTCCTAATCGTGGTCAATAACGTCGTGGAGATGCTTCAATTTTTCTGAACACTCTCGAAATAAAATTATCAGTGTCTTTCCGCGCCACTCCGCGGTTGATTTAAACAATCAGATTCACTGCCCTGTGCTTTAATACAGTTGATTTTGAGCCGACGTGACGACTGTATTGTAAGAGAAGAGATGTGTTCTTTATAATAAAATGGATAGCCATCACTGTATAAGCATTCACGCTTCAAGAACAATACTGTTTATTTGAAAAGCAGTTGCGAAACGAGGCGTGGCTCTGAGGTAGAATATTTGGTTCTACGAAGACTGGCGGGGTTTCACTCCTGCTGAGACCCCGATGCTTTTTTTATATTAATTGGCTCAACGCAGCTCATGTCAGCTTTTTGTTAACACTTATGCCTTAAGTTTTCCCATGTGTGTTCTCACCGTTCATCGGTCGATATGAAGTGTAAACCACCTGGGGCACATACCCGCATACCAATGGCAAAGATTCACTCGCGTGTATGTGCCACTTTCTAGTGGCAAGCGTATGACGACCTACGCGTCGGGATTGTGACGTTATTCATGTCAGGCCTAGCGATTCGTATTAGGCAAAGCATGTTACTCTCCCATACTAACTTTTGTTTGCACCAAATTAAGAAGGCGATTACGAGATCACGCATACTTTGGTGACCGAATTGACAGAAAGATAGATAGATAGATAGATAGATAGATAGATAGATAGATAGATAGATAGATAGATAGATAGATAGATAGATAGATAGATAGATGCAAAATCTTTTGCAGTGGGCGAAGAACTTCTTCGAATTTAAAAAGGAAGTACGGGGTACGTTATAAACTTACTTTTAAAAAAAGTGGACTGTAAAAGAATGCTTATATGCAAAACAAGCGCAAAATTTTGCCTATGATAAACCTCGCCCACAACACCCACCGCCGTTTTGAGATAACTTGTTTCATGCTACGTGGGGCATGGAATGGAGCCATCATTTTTCACTAAACATTCAGCCGCTGCAAATCACGCACTTTTGAAGCCAAGCTGATGAGAGCTAAAATATTTTGATTTCTCTCGCGTCGAATCGCGCAACAACACTGTTTGCCGCAGTACTGACGCTTGCACAACAAATTGCTTGTTGCGTCATGGCTCGCGAATGCTCCAGTGTCGCCCAAATCTCAGACCACTAGCGTGTGTAGGAGATAGCCAATAATAAATTATATACTCGACCACTTGCACCCAATAAGGCAGGCTTATTAGTGAACGCGCATGCCTTAGCCCACCTACCAGAACACTATAGAAAATCAGCCATTGTATTTTTTATACTTTTCCATGGCTAAAATGTTGATTTAATTTGTGTGAACAAGCATTGCTCGCTCACACGAATGGAGAAGAGAAACAAAAAAAATGAAGACAGGGAGGATGCTCACACGGATGAGTTGTTTTGAATTCAAACTTTTGTTGAGAGTCAAGACCTTTACTGAAAGGTTTTGAGGAACCGATCATAGACGATGAAATTTTTACGGGCAGTCTTGGCAGCACTTTGAAATGAGGATTGTGCAACCTAGTGTAAATGTTTAGCAGGAATTTCTCGTTGGTAACTGATAAAAACAGAACATTTCAGTCATTCTATACTCCATCTTTAGTCATTCTTTCATATGATTATCAAAATTCTACATCATAGAGCTTCGGCAATGCCCTGGACGAATTTTTTCTCGTGTTCGTCAAGATGCTTACGGCCACGGCATGAACAGAGCTGTGTTCCTTTTCGAATAAGGAGGTCTCCTGCACGATCGAGCTCCTCCATCAGGTCCTGACGGAAATCGTGGTATGTCTTCTCGTCCTCAAGGGCGTATGCTCCGATCTTCTCCTGCAGGAACTTCTTAACAATGTCAGCTGCCTTGGAGGTGATCACGCCCTTTGCAGTTTTCTCGACGACCTTTCCGACTTGCTTCACAGCGTTCTTTGCCTTGTTCCACAGTTTCTTGATGAAATACTCTTCACCCTGCGAGAAACATCACAAAATGAGTGAAACATTTGCATCATCCTCACTTTGTCCTCGACACATGAAAAGTACTTTGATAGCCGTATCACAACTTTACTGGGAGAAGTAAAAAGAGACGTCATCGGTTTGTAAGTGCTTATCGTGCAATTTGAATTTTGTGTCCCCTAATTCAAAAGCAGAATGAAATTGGTATTCCTTTGTTCCACTTCACCTGAGCAAATGTATAAGTGGAGGGACCTTATTCAGGCAGCGGTAATCTGCCTTTAGTTCCTTCAACCTAGGCCACCACTGTTTTTGTCTAAATAAACAGTGAATGAATGAATGAATGAAATTGCAAATAAATCGCACAGATCTTGCATCGACGTCCGTAATGGATATCTTGTTAGAGATGTATAGAATTTTAGATATTGTTATTACAAGAACTTGTCGAAAGCTAAGGATTTTCTACAGACTCAGTCAACGTGACTAAATATACTTATATTGTGGCTGGCTGCCAAAACGAGATGATAGGTGTAATTACTGAGAAAAAGCGAGAGATGCAGCATCGCATATCATGTGTTGCGAGAAACTCAACTTGTTTGCAGTCATATCAAGACAGCCTATAACAACGCTAAGTTGAGCTAAATTACAGCAAAGTTAGGAATACTGGATTGCATAGTTCACAAAAATGATGTTGTCCATTCTACGTGACACATAATGCGGTTGCTGGTTGTTACATTCATATTCACAATGATCATTCACACCGTACGAATAGAAAATATTTGGTGAGTAGTACGTAAAGGCCCTGTTAACTTGGCAAAAGCACCTCGATTTCGAGAAGAGCACCTTAAAAGCCGAATTCAAAAGTGATACGACGAAAACAATACGAGGTGTTCGTTTCTTCTTTTAATTATTTCTGTACGAGATATAAATCCTCTAGTAAAATTTCTTACACATCTAAATATTCGATCACTATGAAACTAGCCCCACAAGTATGAATTCAATGAATAGGAAGTTGTGTATGGTTTATGTTTGGCCTCACTACTTACCTGATGTTCAGCTTTTTCGGGTTGTTGCAAAGATTTTCGGAGCTCCAAAGAAATGGCGCGGAGCACCTCGCCTACTTGGATAGCTTCCACGCCAAGGCTCTTTGACTCCTCATCAATTTGAAGGTCCAACGCTTGCTTTCTTTCATGCGGCTCTGATGAGGAAGCTGTGAATAAAGCAGACAACTCGGCGTCAATATTTATACAGCTTGACAAAATGAAGTAACTTATGATCTCTATTCTTCATAAGATCTTATTATCTAAAGACATTTACACGTTATAGTAAAGAAGCAAATATTTACTGCACGAATGTGTGCTTTTAAATTGATTATGTGAAACTGAAAATGAAAAGATAGTTTCTTCTCCAGATTTGTTGTCATACTTTTTTTTTGCCACGGCTTCAGAAGTGTAACAACTATAATAATTACCTATCAAGACGTTGTTAAAAGTTTGATGTTATAGGTTGCGAAATATTACGGTTTAATATAATGATATAGTATGCTATAATATTATAGTATAATATAATATATTTTTATAGTATAAGCTATTCAACTGCAGTTACATTAACTTCAAAACATTATTACCAAAGCACATTTAATAGTAGCATCCCCCTCGGAGTCTGGAGTGAATTTGCCATGCGTCGTCAAAATTTATGCATGTCTTGTTGTTCAGTACTACAAACACAATAGAGGGGGGCCTAAATGAAGTACATTCCCTAACGTTCACACTTGAAAATTATCTACAGCAAGCTTACCACAGAAAGCCAGACATCCAATGAGGAAGATTGTGAAAATTATTTGCTTCATGGTGCTTGCCTAAAAAGTAAAGTAACAGAAAAGGTGCTTATTAACGTTTGAAGGTAATAGCAATCCAGCACAAGAAGTGGATCTTTTTGGAGCGAGTGAGGTGGTTTTAAAAGTGGCCCCAAAAGTCAAACCATTGATGTACATTCTTTTACGCAGGTGATTATTGCGTTTTACATTAGAAAGGAATGCCCTAAAAAGACTGGAAATCATATAAAATTTGCGTCTTTATTTCCAGTGCTAGCTCCTCAAACAGGTGAATTAAGTACGCACAGACCACATGCACCCTATACACATCCATGTTTCATGAGGTAAACAGGTGCGTATAACTAGGCATCTACCACTGGCTGTGTCAACATTATTGGCCATTTACAAAGATTAAATTTGCGATCCATGTAAGTCTTCAGAAAGCGCAACGACACAAATGGTTAAAAAGTATGCTGAGCAAGCTTGAATTCAATACTTCGATACAGAGTTGTTGTTTAATAGACGCCGTTTAGAAAGAACAGAGTAAATAAATGCTAATATTTAGCAGCCATAATGAATAGAAGAGTTATGAGTGTTGGTTCTTCGACCCATAAAAGGCAGAAAGCCGCGTCTACACACCTTTCGTTCATCTATTTTAAGTAGGCACATGAGATTTCATTAAACAATGTTGACAAGAAGATAGTGCTGAGGTAGCTTCTTTCACGTGAATACAATACTCTGATCCATATTGATATTTTTTAACAGTCGAAGACACTCACCAATTTCGAAAATATGGATTTGGGTAGAAGAATGTACGTCGAAGCCTCGTGCTGTGACTCTGTTTGCCAGTGTCATATATATATCGCCAGCGGTGTCCGGTATCTAGTTCATATCAGAGAAAGGCAAAATAAACGTCGATAACGAAGACAATAGGCGTGCCCTTGCTTCGTGTTTTTCGAGTCGTCATTGCTTTCGACATACATTATTTATGGTTTTACCACAATTCATGGGGATTCCCTTACACGTGGAGTCGCCGTCAGCATCTGGTTTGCCCTTCACGAACGCGAGGGCATTTTCGTGCACGACTGCACTGAGGATTCATACTAAGCTGATCTTCCAGGTGGACCTTCTGACCTTGCAAGATAAGCTGGGGCAGCCCACGTTTATGCACATTTTGAATTGATATTGCATTCGAGATAACGAAGGTGTTTCTAAAGACACAATGGAAAAAATATGAAGATCGCCAAAGCCAATATTTAACTGAAGGTGAAGCGATGTGTCTCTATACCAAAAATAAAATTTCACATTCATCCATTTCTGTTTGGTTTAGGAATACTTCCTTCAATTATTGACTAGTGAAATCTACCACTACGTTTCCTTCATTGCCTTGTGTAATTATTTTTGTAAGCTAGCCGGAAGACAGGGTCCCCATTTCACAAATAAAAGGTTTTCCGTTGCTCAACGAAAACTACTCCGTAGCAATATCTAATAAGCGGTCCTCCAGCTTTCTCTTTATTCGAGGCAGTCGTAGGAACGCTTTACGGCTTGAAAGAAGTGAAAAAGAGAGTTTGAGCTCCGGATAGCGCCATTCATATGCTGTAAATTTGCAGACGTCGACAGACTAAAATGACGACAGATAAGCGGCCATGACTTCTTTAAGGAACGCAACCTGAAAGTTGAAGCCACGAAGATGACATGTCCACTTGTTTAAAACTGACTGCATCAAGACGGCGTGATGAAGAAAACTCATCACAGCTGATTTTTTGAAATACAAACGCTTTGGAAATTTTGAGGTAAATGCCTTTGCTGCTCCATAAAACGCGAGAACTGACCGGCCTACCGCATTAGCGGCGTAAACCTCAGGAAAGCAAAAGTTATCCTAACTTTATATTATAATCATATGATGTTATCACGACGTCACAGACCGCTCAAATCTTTGACGCAATAATGGCACGTCACAGTGGCATCACGTGGTGACGTCATCCCATGACGCAGCCGTTTGGCCAATGGTTGGCCCATGCCGGAGATTGTGCAAGCAAATTGAGGTGTAGAGGGCTTACAATTCTTTTTAATGTAGATGCATTGCAAAACAACGTTAGTTGCAGAGAGCTTCTGGCAGGGGCCACTGGAGGTTCGATTCGGCGACTTCGAAAAATTTAAGGAAGGTGGTTCTCACCTTCGATTGATGATTGATCGATTGATTGATTGATTGATATGTGGGGTTTAACGTCCCGAAACCACCATATAGTTATGAGAGACGCCGTAGTGGAGGGCTCCGGAAATTTTGACCACCTGGGGTTCTTTAACGTGCACCCTAATCTGAGCACACGGGCCTACAGCATTTCTGCCTCCATCGGAAATGCAGCCGCCGCAGCCGGGATTCGACCCCGTGGCCTGCGGGTCAGCAGCCGAGTACCTTATCCACTAGACGGTTCTCACCTTCGAGTCTACTAAGGCACTTGCATAAAGGACCCGCTGAGACTGATTAGATGTAGTTCAGTTCTGTCAACACTTATCAAAAATACCTATGCCTTCAAAAAAAAAAAAACCAGGAACGTTCACACTGACTTCATAGGAACTTTGAAAGTGAAGGCCCAGCCAATATCACTGGCGAAGTTTTTTGCGTGCGTTTCGTAGCATGAGCTTCTGCTAGAGTTGCTGCCTGTATAAGGCGGGGCCAATAAAATCAAGCAATATGTGATCCAAGTAGGCGCCATCATAATGGGAGAAACATGTATATGGTGAAATCTTAATCCGCAATATGAGTTCGTTTTGTAAGGAGCCATAAACGATGCATGAGTGTAGTGACACATCGTGAGAGCTGACGATCTACGGTCCATTTTACGGGGTGTGTGATTATGAAATTTCAGAATACGACAACATTTCGATTAAGGAAATGCATTCGAAAATCAAATCAAATAGTTTGAATTATCATGCTTGATAAAGCAGAAAATGAAGACTTTAACAAGAATCTTTTCATTAACCACACGTGAAAACTTGCGTTTTTTGCGTATCGAATAGTGTACCAAGAAATATTATTTTAGTAGCACTCAAGCTTTACTGTACCGTGTAGGCAGTTGCTCACTGTTGTAGGTATTGACAGACGTTTTCCACGATGAATCAACTGTTTTAGTGCTCGGTTCCTGACCCAACAGTGTGGGGTCCAAACCCGGTCACGGTGCTCTCATTAGGGGGGCGGCAAAATCGATACAGGACAATGTACCATGCCAGTGCAGGGTAAAGAACACCAGGTGGTGGAAACATTGAGAGACCTTCAGTACGGCGCCCCGCTGTATCATACTGTTGCACATCAACCGTTAAACTATCGCCATTGCTCTAGAATACTCTTTCGCGGCATACATCACCACTGAGACCATTTATTCATACATCAGGCAATACGCCATGAACCCTTCACATCTTCTGGCGAGCCTCTTTTCTGAAAAGCCCCATACGCCATTTATTACAACTGTCTATGCCCATCGTTGATCGTTTACAACAAGGTATGCGCCTGGGGAGAAGCCGGAATTTCGTCCGTGGTGCTTGTCGCTCCCACAAATACGTCTCACAATTTCAGGGCGGGAGAACAAACCAGCTTTACTTGCCACGGCACTAATGTAACTGAGCCTATTTTTCTTGCACGAAGCCCAAAACAACAACATGCACGTCCGCATGGATTGATTGTTCGACCACTGCGTTCAGGTCTGGCGGAACCATCGGGACACCGACACGACAAATAGCACTGTGGATCAAATTATGCCATGTGACTATATCTATGGCAATAGAACCTATGGTATTGAGTTGTGCTGTAGAGAACACACACACTCACCCATATATATATATATATATATATATATATATATATATATATATATATATATATATATATATATATATATATATATATATATATATATATATATATATATATATATATATAGTGGGAGTAATAATTCATTGGGCCAGTTCTTTTCTAAATAAGAAAGAAAGAAAAAGGGAAGAAAAATGACGAAAAGAAAAAAAGGAAAAGGAAAGCAAGAAAAAAAGGAAGTAAAAAAGAGGAAGAAGCACTGTCAACATTGAGAACGAAACCAAATGTCCGTGTACGTCCACATCCGGTTCTTAACCCGTGCTGGTCAGTTCTCGACGTGTGTCGGGCCACCCAAGATTGTCGCCGCGGTGGCGGGAGAGGTCCGTGACGGCGTGCGTAAGGAAAGGGCGCACCCATTAAGGGGAAACCTTTTCCTTACGCATCCGTTGGAGGCGGAAATGTTGTAGGCCCGTGTGCTCAGATTTGGGTGCACGTTAAAGAACCCCAGGTGGTCTAAATTTCCGGAGCCCTCCACTACGGCGTCTCTCATAATCATATAGTGGTTTTGGGACGTTAAACCCCACATATCAATAAAATCAACCTTTCCTTACGCACGCCGTCAGGGACCCCTCCCGCCACCGCGGCGGCAATCTTGGGTGGCCCGACACACGTCGGGAACTGAGCAGCACGGGATAAGAACCGGATGTGTACGTACACGGACATTTGGTTTCGTTCTCAGTGTTGACAGTGGTTCTTCCTCTTTTTTACTTTCTTTTTTTTCTTTCTTTTTCTCTTTTTCTTTTTTATTTTCGTCTTTTTCCTTCATTTTTTCTGTCTTTCTTTTCCAGTTCTCTCTCACTCTCGCAAACATCTTTGAAGGCGAGAGGCACGCGGCAGCAACGAAGCTTGGAAGTTTATGTTAGTATAACTCATCCCTGATGAAGGGAGGACCCCTTCCGTAACTGTTGGGAAATAAATATATTTATCCTTGTTGACAACGCTCCCGTTGTGCCATATCCCATACATATATATATATACAGATGGTGAACTTGATGAAATCTCTTATCCCCTTGCCTTTTTGTAGAAAAAACCTATACTCACTAACTTTTGTATTTGGTGTGTGCATAGTTTTTAGAACATGATATTTTTGTGCGTGAAAGCTTTTCGCAAACTGACAACTTTATTGATAATAATCGTGTCATGGTTTTTTTTATTTTTGTGTCGTGTATGTGTGCACTGTTTTATATGATCTTCAATCTCGCCCAAATAGTTACTTTGCTCATTGTTTCTTTAGACAATATATACAGCTGCTCAATAGACGCACTAATAATAGGTTAATCATGATGTCATAGTTCGCAATCAGGAGGAGTAATGGCAACAAATCTGTACAATCTTCAATGTAGAGATTGCTCTTGAAGGGGCCCTGCAACACATTCTGAGCATAACAACAAGAGGCCTCCAATAGGTAGTCAAGGCTCTGGAGAACACCCATGGCAAATAGGCCTAATATAACGCACCACGTGCCCTTAATTTCACAATATTGTCACGACGCAGACACAGTAAAAGTCGGATATAGAAGAGCTCACTTTAAATATATGTAAGGCGCTCATAAAGAGGACCGGGCAATAACTTTGTCTGTCTTTCCTGCCGGGCGAGCGCTTCTCTGCCGGTCCTACACTCTGTCCTTTGAAGTAGCAAAAAACCTGCGATAAAGAAAGGGGTTGTGAGAGACAGTGCTATTTTGCCAATTATGCTAACAGCATGCTTGAAGGAACTCTTCGGATGGTTTATTAAAAATAAGTAGGAGGAACGAGTAGCGAAAAACATTTTAGCAGCTAGCCGTAGAAATGGGGCTCTTGAGGCAGTAAAACTTGAAAGTAGCAACAAATGTTCGAAGATTCTGCAAAGTGAGGATGAAACTTTTAATTCGTATGAAAACCAAAAAAATGGAATTAGAAGGACACTGTTGTTCCGATTATCAATCTCCGATTCCGCTGCCATTGCCGCCATCGTGGCTCTTTTCATGAGAGCGTGCGAGCACTCGTCGAAGGCCAAGCTGGCTGCCTTGCATCCGTA